GAGATTTATGGAACAATATTGGATTGATTTTTTTCTTTAAGAAAAAACCAGCATCAAGCCAATCTTACTACAAGTCTGAGTCTCAGTCCTCAGAAACTAGCCTCCACCTGTTATTGGAGCCCCATCTTCTTCACACATGAATTCTTGTGACTGATTCTTTCCTGAGCCTCCATCCGAGTAGAAAGCCCAGTATTTCTAGGACTGAGATCCTGTGCTTTCCAGCTCTCCTCTGCAGTCCTGAGTCCTGGCATGTTATCTAGGCTCTTCTAACAGATACCCAGGATGTGAACTGAGTAGCTCCTCAAATATTGCCATGTCAAGAGAACCGGTGGCTGGGCATGGTCTGGCAGTCAGATGTTCTTGTTACAGTGTCACTCATGTTGGACCCCAGTGATGAGTATGTTTGTTGCCATAATCTCTGATGCATGTTCTGCTTGACCTTCCTATCCCCACCACCACCCTAAAACAGGAAAGACCTAATCCCAGGCCATTTTTTCTCACTTTGCTTTTGTCATCTGAGTTTAACTGGGTCATCCCTAGCCCTGCTGGTGCCTGTGAAACATAAGGGATACAAATGACCGTGTCAGGATCCATGTAAAGTTCCTGACTTCAACAAAGGTATGTCAGGACTGTAGTCACCCAGCACCTGAACTGTGGCCAGCAAAAATTTCTGGCTCCTGGCCCAGAACATAGAAGGGTTGAAACTTGAGTTCTAATGCCAAGAGTGCTTTTAACTCATTAAAGATGTTGGAAAAAGCACTTAGCCTTCTGTTGATTCATCCCATTAGAAGAATGTAGGGTCAAAATATGGGGAGGTAAATGAGGACTCTATTCTCACAATCAAAGTTATACCTATAAGACCCATTAAAATTTATTGAACACTAATGTGCCAGACATTGTGCTAAATGCTTTGGATAATTATCTCATTTAATTCTCACAACAATACAATGACTAGCTATTACAATTATCTTGATGTTACATGAGAAAAATTAAGCTTGGAGAGATGAACTAACTTGCCTGAGATCAAGAACTAGGACATGACGAACTCAGGAGCCAGCCAGAGCCATCATTCCCAAGCTGGTGGAAGGACTCATATATTCTCTTAGCCATATGCACTAAAGACACAGATATGGACACACACGTTTTAAATGTATCTAAATTTAAATTTCAAAGCTAGAAATGTAAAGAAATTTGTTTTGTAAAAAGTCCAAATTTGAGGGGCGCCTGGGTGGCTCAGTCGTTAAGCGTCTGCCTTCGGCTCAGGTCATGATCCCAGGGTCCTGGGATCGAGCCCCGCATCGGGCTTCCTGCTTGGCAGGAAGCCTGCTTCTCCCTCTCCCTCTCCCCCCTGCTTGTTTTCCCTCTCTCACTGTGTCTCTCTCTGTCAAATAAATAAATAAAATCTTAAAAAAAAAAAAAGTCTAAATTTGACCAAGGCTTCTCAAATCTGTTAAGAAAAAGGTTTGGTGATGAAGAATGATGCTCAGAAAGACAGCCTCCCCTCTTTTGTTAAATGGTTCATGGTTCTCTTTTTTAAAGAAGATGCAAAATCTATTCTTCTACTAGGAATAAAAGAGGATTATTCTGAATCAATTTATTCTCTTAGATTTTTTTGTGTAGTGTATCTATCAATAATGAAAATTTGACAAGACTTTTTATTTAAGAAGTACTTAAAAATGCTTTATTTCACAGGGATGTCTCCAGAGTCTGTCCATAAAAATAGTTCTCTGTGTTTTCATTTTCTTTATTCATACCTACTTCCTATCTTAAAAAATAAAATTTGCAAAACAAATAAAACAACTGCCTAAAAAATCTTAACACATTCACAGGAAAATGTGAGGAGAAAGTAAAATCAATCACACAAGAAAGTTAACCATGGTTAAAATACCAAAGATACAAGACAGTCATACTAACATAGTACAAGGCTAGACCACCCTGTCCAATAGAAATGTGAGCTACATATGTAATTTTAAATATTCTGTAGTCATATTTATAAAAATTTAAAAGTGAGTGAAATTAATTTCAGTAACATTTTATCCAGTATCAAAAAAGTGAGTGAAATTAATTTCAGTAACATTTTATCCAGTATCAAAAAGTTATCATTCCAACATGTAATCAGTTTAAAAGTTATTGATGAGATACTTTGTATCTTATTAGAGATTATTAAAATTATATATATCATATAATATATCTAACATATATTTTTCATATATATATATATATGCTAAGACTTGGAATCTGGTATGTATTTTTCACTTACAGCACATCTCAATTTGGACTAACCACATTTCAGGTACTCTTATAGCCCCATGTGGCTAGTGCCTATGGTATTGGACAGCAAAGAGTTGGACTATCACAAAGCTGAATATTCTTCCAGTTTCTAAAACATCAAAGCTTCCTATCTTCAGGGAATAGCTACCTGCTGCCTCATCCTTTTCTCTCCTGGCACTTTTCCCTTTTATTGCTTCCCATCCTCTCTATCAATTCTTTACTAAACCCACACTAGAAAAAACAATGTTCTGTCAACAGAGCACAATACAGAAGAAATTATATAGCACTAGTACCCTTTTCCCTCTGTTTTATACAGTACCTAGGTTATTTCCCTGCTCTTGTATTATTTTATTTTCAGATATCTTGCCTTTGATTTATAGGGGCTGCCAGTTTTTTACAGGTTTACTACTGAAAACTCCAGAAAGAGTTTCTTTCTATGAGAGGAGTGACTTTTCTTTCTGATATTAACTGTGTCCATTTGCATTTTTTTATTCTGGAAGCCTCCTCAAGTCATCTTTTCTTTCAAAGAAGTTGGGATGTTTGTTACAAATGAACTGCTAATGAAATAGTTTCTGTGAGGCACCTGCATGGCCAGTTGGTTAAGTATCTGACTTAGGCTCAGGTCCTGGGATCGAGCCCCACGTCGGGCTCCCTGCTCTGCTTCTCTCTCTCTCTCTCTCCCTCTGCCCCTCCCCCTGCTCCTTCTCTCTCGCTCACTCTCTCTCAAATAAATAAATAAAATCTTAAAAAAAAAAGGAAATAGTTTTCAAGGAAAACCTGCAGCGTGTCAGGGTGTGTGTGTGTGTGTGTGTGTGTGTGTGACAGAACAACAGAAACAGAGAGCAGAGTCCGAGTAAAAAACGGACACCAGATAGACACTTTTGCTTATAATCATCAAGGTGCTGGTATGAAGTTGCCTAAAGGAGCTATGCGCCCAGAGGGGGTCCTGACCAAACCACCAACTCCTCTGCAAGGAGAATCTATTATTATGGGAAGATAATTAGAAAGTCAAGAAAAAACAACTATAGCATTTCCGAGATCATAGTGAAGAAAGGTTAACTGCAAACGAGGTGCTAAACAGATTTATACTATTTGGATAAAACAGATCTGTGGTCATGTCTGGTGTTTCACGTGATACACATCTGACCCAGAAAAAATACAAAAACATTACATTCTGAGTGCAAGATGGCATGGGAAATGGAAAACAGTAACACTAGAAAAAAACTTGCTGTCTTCCCCCGAATGATAACAGGAGGAGACTGCAAGCCGAGGGACAAAAAGGGCAAGGGCAACATGACAAGGGGATAAAAAATAAGAAGAGAAATGTCAGCCCAGTTTATCATCTATATTTTGACAATTAAAAACAATAGTTAATTCAGGGCGGTTAAGGACTGGCAGAAGTAGGCGGTAAAACAGTCAACTTAAGAATTAAATTCAGATGGAGAAAAGAGCAGTATACACCTTTCTGTGAACAGAACAGTTAATGTCTAGGTGACAAAGAAGGTTTTCAACATACCACTGTATTAGCAGCCTTCCCCGATTAGACTTTGCAAATAAATAGGCCAATAAGAGATGTCTACTTCTCCAGGCAAACAAGCAGCCCTTGAAAACACACTATATGAAAAAGAGGAATGAGAAAGAGAACTGGTCTGAAGCCAGATCGCAGGGACTGCATTTATCCACCTAACATGCACCCTGGGCTCAGTGTGTGCCTGGCGCACAGCAGGTACTCGTTAATTATCTGTCACAAATAGTTCTGGGCAATGGCCACAGCTGCAGGTTACTACTACGTATATTTCTGTCCCCAAATATGTTGGGGCAGGAAAAATGTTGAGAACCACTGGCTTAGTGTCAACTTCCCCAAAAGTGAAAGGGTGAAAACCTAGTAGCAACAGGGGTCCTGCTATTATCTGAGCTGGTGGAGTGACCCCCCCCCCAAAAAAGACAAAAAAAAAACCTTTATCAGAGTAGGGCTCAGAGTAGAAGTCATGAGGAAGAACCCTACCAAAAGCCAAGGTGTGACTGATACAACTAGATCTGTGGATCAGGAGCCAGGGACCCTCTATGGATATAATATGTATATTATACTCATAATATACACTTTTTATTTTATGTAAATCAGGCACTTGACCTTTACCAGGACTTAGAAGGATCCTGTCCCAGTGTCGAGGATGTTGTGCAAGCTCCCCCACCCCAAAGCACGGGATAACAAGGAGGGGAAAGAAAGTTAACACTCTGTGATAAAACGAGACAAAGTAAATGGTAGTAAAATTAGTATGTTAACAAATCAATCTATCTTCTATTCAAAATCATCAGTTCCTAGTGGATTACCACAAGAGCCATGGGTATGGAAAGACTGAATCACTGTGGAGGGCCTCTTCTCCCTTACATGTTTAAGTGGAAGGGGGCAAATTCTCATTACCAGGAGTTTCTTTACCTTCCAGGAAAAAAATATAGACACTATAGCTGTGTAGACTTTCTTGCCCTTAACTATGATAATAGCTAGTTCTTTCTCAGGTGCCTTTAGTGCTTTTCTGTTGCTTTCTATGTCATAATTAAAATATTATCTTCATTTCATATGCATGCTCCCTAGAGACCCACCTAGCTCCTGTTGTTCCAGGCGTGGCAGTGGAAAGTTACCAAAGTAAGCAGCATTGTAATGTATGAACAAATGCATAAAAACACATTAAAAATGAAATAAACTAAACACTGCTTAGTTCCATCCTTACCTCATGTCCCTCTTTCCCCTTCATTTCTCACCCATGCATTTATCAAGATGGTCCTCTATTTCTGAAAAAAAAAAAAAAAAAATTCCATTCCTATAATAAGACTAGCCCTTCCCTTCCTCTTCACTCCTTCTCCAGTCATTTAATTCTTTCTGCAATATACAGCTTCCCCCTTCTTGGGGATTGGTGCCGGAAAGATAATAAAGAACATGGGGCCCCAGACAGAATTGCTTTGTTGAATTTCTGGTTCTCATGATCCTAGACTACTCTGCAGATTCTTGCGGTCTTATTTGTCTTCCTGATTTGGAGTCCTACTGCATATTCTGACCTCTAAGACTGGTCTGACTGAAAGTCCCTGATTGTGAATCAGTCTGTCCTGGATTGCTAAATTCATTGCAGACCTCCATGCTGACTCCTCCTCGCAGCCCCTTCCCCTCCCGGGGGAGGCCTGTCCCCCCCGACCCCATGCATCTCCTGTTTTTGCCTCAGCACCTCCTTCTGTGTAGACAACTCAGAACCGCCCAGACACTGATACTATACGGTAAGTCCTTGAGTAACACATCCATCATCATTTAGTTTCATACGTAGAAATCCTACCCAATTAGGTTATAAACAGTTCTATTAGTGCTGCTGACAATTACTAAATTCATGTACTGTATGGCTATATATCACCAGCAGGAGATTAATGAATTGGGCTTCCAGTTCTAACAAAGTCGTTTTGGTCCTATAAAAGGCAAAAGTAGGAAGCACTGCATTGCAGGGACCACGTGAATGTCAGGGTCAAAGCATTTCATGCACCGCCTGACAGCTGTATCTGAAAGCATCACTCCATCACATGAGGTTCCTAGATAGTGAGGAACATCAAAAGCTTCTATTGCTCCCAGGTGGCCAAGCTACCAAATTACCTCTACAGGAAATCTGACCAGACATATATAAGCTAGTCTGTAAGAAGGATTGTGGTGTTATACAATCAGCATTCAGGAATAGTCAGTAAAACCCAGCAGAAAATATACACATGACTTCCAGATGATTTATATAGAGAGCAGAAAGACCTCGTTGGTTTGGCCAAGACTGTAGATAAATCAAAGCTGAGGAAAGGCAAGTTATATGGGGGTAAACGATCAGTTAGGAATCATACAGAGTGAAGGAGAAGGAAAAACAGGCTGATCAATAAATGCATTCATTCGACATTTATTTTGTACCCAGTTAGGTCCCAGATATTTCACTAGGAATTACAGAAATAAAAATGAACGAGCCGATATTTTTCTTCATAAGAAGCTCACATTCCAATGTTGCGACAAACACATAAATAAAGCATTGTGATAGATGGTAAGTGTGGTCATGCAATTATGCAAAGTCCTTACGGAGCAGAGAGAAAGGACTTACCTCACAGAGAAAGTGGAAGTAACCTTCGAACGTATCTTAAAAAGGAGTAAGGCTTTTTTTTTTTTAACATATAATGTATTATTTGTTTCAGAGGTACAGGGTATCAAGGAGGGCACGGATTGCATGGAGCACTGGGTGTTATGCGCAAACAATGAATCATGGAACACTACATCAAACACTAATGAGGTACTGTATGGTGACTAACATAACATAATAAAATAAAATTTAAAAAAAAACAGTAAACAAGCAAAAAAAAAAAAAAGGAGTAAGACTTGCCATGTGGCGGTGCGGGGACATTTCAAAGTGTCAGGAAGGTTGAAAACAGCAAAGGAAGGAGGTAAAGATAATAAGGTGCACTGGAAAGGGCCAGTGAGGAGCAGGACACAGAGGCGTCCCAGAAGCCTGAGAGGACAGATGGTCAATGACCACAGGGTGGGGAGAAGTGACCAAAGCAGCAGTGCTGGGCCACCGTGATACTGGGCTCCATGAGCCAACCACACCCAGAGACAGGGCGTACTTTGCCACTAGAGAGTAAACCGAACACTTAAAACTGAAGAAGGGTACATTTATTCACTTGAAGTGAGTTCTCAAATGTATGAGCTTAGACTATCTCACAAAATAACCATCATACAAAGGACCAGTCCAGCCAGAAGAAAAGACAAATCCCACCCTGGCAGGATTTGCTGGCCGTCGTGTGTCCCAAATTTACAACAAAGATAAAAGGGATGGAAATATCAGCAATCTTCTTGCTTGAAAAATAAATAATGCTGTTGAGAGTTAGAGCTTGGAAGAGAAAGGGAACTCTGTAAAAAGAGCTAGAAGAAAATTTAGAAATGGACAAACATCCCCAAAGTCACTTATTTCCATCACTTTGATGGATACACTGGGTATTTTGTAGCCTTGCCACTCAAAAGGTGGTTCTCGGACCAGCAGCCTCAGCATCACCTGGAAGCTTGGTAAGGGATGCGGAATCTTGGGCTGCACCCCAGATCTGTAGAGTCAGATTCTGGAGTTTATTCAGATCCCTATATGAATCAGGTGTACATTGACGTTTGAGAAGCATTGTTCTACAGAACTGGGGAAACTGTCCATGCTACAAAGAGGGCAGAGAAGCTACTGCTAAGGCACGCAGTAGAAACATGCCCTTCTCCACCTCCGGTCCTCAGCACCCTCTTGTGGCTCTCTCAACTTGAAATCCTGCGGGTCTGTCCGCCGTTTCCCTGGAATGCCTCAGAATACCTACATTACCTATATGCCTACACCACTGTGGCTGAGCTTAATTAGGTATTAAAGGAAGAAGACTACAATTATCTCCTTAACGCAATATCTCACTAAGGTGTAAAAGGCTGATTGGATTAACATCCTCAGCAAGTATTGACATTTTAAGGGTATTTGTTAATCCAATTGGATTTCTAATTGGTAGTCTACGGGAAAGACTTATTCTTGAGCTGGGAAGGCTTCCAGGCATGTATTGTTCCTGCCCGCTGCAGACTACTGCTAGCAGAACAATAAATTATTAGAATCCACTTAGGGGCCAAATACTGTTACAGTAAATTAAACTATGCTCATCTAAGTTATGGAAATGATGGCGATGATAGGCCAAGCAGACTAGCTAAGATTAAATTCTTTACTATGGGGCAGGGTGCTGCTGTTGGCACCGTTCGAGTCTGAGTGCCAGTGGAGAAATCCCACTCGGCCGTGTGTCTCCATGTTGTAAGGCAAGAATGGGAAGCGGCCCCATCAGAGCCGGGCAGCCATAAGCTAGGGTGTCAGCTCTTTATATGAACAGTCCGAGAAAGCCAAGTGTCTGGATGCTACAGTCCACTCATCAAGGGGAGGAAGGCACAGGTCCTGCAGAAAAGTGAGCTTAGGTATAACCTCACCCCTGGGAGAAGAAGGCAGCCCCTCCCCTCTCTGTCCTAGCTGGCTTATTGTCCAGTCAACCCAAACTCAATTGGGTCAACCTAAGTCTGACATGCCCTGTACAACTCTAAGGATGGATAGCTGCTTCTGAATAACAATTTAAATAAGTCTGTTAAATCATATCCGATGCCCAGATAACTACAGATGGCAAAGGGAATACAATCCTAAAATCAGTCTTAAATGAGACATACTAACAGCAATAGAGGTTCACAGAATAAGCAAAAGACTTGTGAAATATAGGGGTTAAGTCACCTAACTACAGATATCAAAGAGAATTTAAAATAAATTCTTTACATGTGATCATTAAAAGAGCATAGGCAATGAACTTTTAATTCATCTAAAGTAATTGGAAGATTGATTTAAACCAATAGAGACTAAAATATTCTAAGGTTGCTATAACTTTATTCTCTTTCATCTTCAGATATTTCTTACAGTAGTCTGCTTTTGGGGGGATAGCATTAATTAAAAAAAAAGCTTTCAAGTTAAAATAGAAATACTATCTAGGTGAGAAATTGAGAAAGAATTATAGATACAGCTTGTGGAATCCTCCAGAATTCTTTATTTGACTCTAAAGGAGGAACATTTGGAATGGTTTTCCCCAACAGCGCTATGCATTCTATCATGGAACAGTTTTGCCTCTATCAGCTCCCTCAGTAACGGAGACCGAAAGGAGAACCGGAAAATGAAAGATTAAGAAAACTAACGCACATAGAGGAGTAAGCTAAGGAAGGAACTAGTTGAGATGCGACTATCTATGGACGTGCAGAAATACGCACTGAAAAAGTAAACTGGCAAACTATTCTGTCCCTCCATATTCTGCATCCTGCACCCATCCAACCCCCCAACCTAGTCCACACACTTCGGAAATCAAAGGTAAAGGAATATGCAGGATCATCTTCCGTAACAGCAGAGTGGAGCTGGAGCCCACAGAGCATACTGGTCCTTGGTTTAGTGTACTTTAATTCTAACCTGACTCAGAAGTCACCTCCTCCCTGAGGTCTTCTCTGCCCACAGGAGCAGGTGTTAGGAGCTATCCTTGGTATTCATGCCTGGCTCATTGGCAGATGTTCCACAAAGGAATATTGAATTGTATAAGAATGTAGATTTAGAGTGGTGCTTTCATTAACCCCAATGAGAAACAATTCACAGTTTGTTTAGCTAAAGTGAATAGATTTAGATTTCTTACCAAACTGACCTCACTTACAGACTTGGCAAATTTGCTTTTAAGTTTCACATATAATCTAAAAGTGCTGACAACATGTGTCACCAGTGTAAAGTTTACATCGCCATCCAGTGGTGGGAGGTGAGATCTAAAGTGACTGAAATGACCCTGCTGCAAGTTCAAATAAAAGCAAAGCACAGAGCCATAATGAGTGACTATCAATAACAGAAGCATGTCACAAATCCAAGCGACCAATGCAACAGGTGCACAGAGAGAACACTAGATTATCATTCTCATGGGCAGGACCTCACGTTTTCAACACATCACTCACTAATGAATACTAGTGGAAATATTTGAATATAGAGGAAATATTTATCCATATTGTAAACCATAACAAAGTCTGACACTAGAACTTATTATGGTTGGAAACTTCTGTTTAAGAGACAACGAGACTTTGACTCTAAGGACCATGGCACAGAATGAACAAAGGGAACTGGCTGGAATGCAGAATATTTTTATCAAACACCTACACAGTCCTTCATCTGAGAGTTCCCCTGATTTACTATTTTCAGGGAGACTAAATTCACATGTCT